TACAAGTTAGTTTATGATGTTTAATGGAAATAAGACTTGCGACTAGTCTATTTCCTATATTATAATGCATTAATTCATGATCATAGGCATATGTTTGATTTGGGTATATGTGATATATATTACAATATGTGTTAAATGATTGTGTGAATACATGTATTATGATAAGTATAGGAATTAATATGAATGGTCTATATGATTGCATGGGAATATTAAATAGGTTATATGATAAGTGGCCATACATGTTAATAGTATAAGTGATCAATTATAAGAATCTATATAATAGATTTATATGACTACATGAGAAAGGTGATGAGTTAAATAAGATTAGACTATAGAGTAATATGAGAATAATATATTAGTGAAGGGAATTGAGTATAAATGATGATACCAAACCATAAGATAAGTATTTACTTATAGGATATGATATATATGAATATAATATATAACTTTATGAGGAAGAATTGGGTGTTATATGATTTAGGTATGAAAATGATCTATGCGTAAGTATATTACGTGATTATGTGACTATGTGTGAAATAGAGTAAACTAGGTAAGTATAAGATATGTAAAGATATGGCTATGGAACAAAGTATGTAATAATACAATGTTATTTGATTTATGATTTTGATATGTGCACGGATACATGAAATGGATATAGGTTATTATATATGTTACATGATTATATGCATGTGTGATATATGCTATGAGACCTGCCCAACGTGAAATGAAATAAGCCAAGTGACTATATGAAAAATGTGAGATATGAATATAAAATCATATGAGAAGTGAAAAGAATTACATGAAAATAGACTAAGTGATTACATGTATATGTGAAAGAAGCTATGAGCTTATATGAACATGTGATATGATATGGAATACATGGTTACACATACATATGGTATGTGACAGAAGATAAATGACAAGTAATGTGAACTGTTAAATGACAATGCCCATGTTATGTGTCATGAGAGCTAGGGGTATAGTTGGCATGCCAAGAGTCGAGGATACCTATGTTCTACGGAACATATGGACATAATTACCTATGTCTTTCGAGACATATGGACAGTATACCTATGTTCTAAGGAACATATGGACAGTTCACCTAGGTTCTTCGGAACCTATGGACAGTTACCGAGGATCTTTATGACCTCTAGATAGTTACCGAGGATCTTTATGACCTCTGGATAGGTCCTGCGGGACATTGATCGAGCTGTGGTGACAGCATATGTGTGCACAACCTCAATGTACTCACATACCTTAAGTTCTCAATAGTGTACATGGGTTAATAAAGAGAGTAAACAAGTATACTAAATGTGACTTGTTATATGGAATAGATTACATGATTTACATAATGGTGTATTGCTTGGTTAATGCATGATATGGTAAAGACAAATGTTTATATAAGAGTGTTAAATTATAAAGATTAATGATAGTGAATGAGAAATGTTAAATGTGTTGATAATGATATATGTGCATGTGTGTACATGTTGCAGAAATTATATATATGTGCTTTTATATGATATGATTGTAATACTAATTGCTCATGCATTTGATATGAATTATAGTTGTATTACATGTTTATATGCCTCACTAAGTCAACGACTTAGCGTGTGATTGTTTCACACGTAGGTTTCGAGAAGAGTAACGAGCAATGTGGAGCAAGACATATCAGTTCCCCTTACCAAATGTCAGATCAGAAAAGAGGTGAATAATACGTATTTTAATAAATAAAGTTCTAGTTGGCATGTAATCAAAAGAATATATATTGTATAAGCTCTAATAGTTTTGTAAACGTTTTGAATAAGTTTTAATGTTATAAAAGTTTTAAATTTCCCTATTTTTTTCTATAAGAGTCAAAGTTTGAAAAGTCAATGTGACACCTCAGACTCGTACCCGGGTCGGGTATGGGTTGGGGTGTTACAGCTCATGTGTATTCACTCTCCTTGTGTGCTAAGCTGTCAATTGAGTTAATTAGTACTGTTATTCTGCTTAGTATATAAGCACCTATTGCTAAGTATGAAGAGGGGGATTATTTTCAATAAAATGAATGAGAAGTTATTCTTTATTTTCCTTTCTTCTTGTTTTCAATGATAGTTTAGCTGCTATCATAACAACGAAGTGATAAATGAGTGGTGAACGAATTAAACTATTTGACAAGTTGTTTCACTATGCAATTCTGATTATATAGATAAACAACCTTTTACCAAATATGATATATGACTATACGTGACCATCGACAAAGCAATAAGAAGATAAATGTCATGGGGGTCTTTGCGCGAGCTCCAAAACAATCGTAAAAGTACGTGAAAAACATACAAAAAACCATAAGGAGCCATTAGAGCAAAGAAAAAACATGTCACAATAGTAGAGAAAAGTGTCACAATCACAAAGATTTCTATTTAAAATTGAAAAAAAAAATTGAAGAGAAAATAAAAACTATATTAGAATTAATGTTAAAAAAAATAATAACCACTACGAACAGTAACTAACATTAAATTTAATGTTATTGCCAGTTAAACAAAAATAAAAATGATATAGGAAGACATCATAAAAATATTAAAAAAACTATGTTAGAATTAATGTTACTTTGGTATACATGATCATATATTATATTTGTCATGTGTATAGATGATAACATAACAATTTTTTTTTGTGTCTATCCACAACTTGGACATTACATAGTAGGGAATGTCTCAGGTACGAAGTGATAAATGAGTGGTGAACGAATCAAACTATTTGACAAGTTGTTTCACTATGCAATTCTGATTATATCGATAAATAACATTTTATCAAATATGATATCTGACTATACGTGACCACCGACAAACCAATCAGAAGATAAATGTCATAGAGATCTTTATGTGAGCACCAAAACAATCGTAAGTATGTGAAAAACGTTCCAAAAACCATAAAGAACCGTTAGAACAAAGAAAAAACATACCATAGTAGTAAAGAAAAGTGTCACAAGTACAAAAATTTATATTTAAAATTGAAAATAAAAATCAAAGAAAAAAGAAAAATAAATGATATAATATTAAAAAAATAAACTAACATTAAAATTAATATTAACATAGGTTAAACAAAACTAAAAAAAGTAAATAAGAATACGTCATAAAAATATTAAAAAAACTATGTTATAATTAATGTTACTTTGGTATACATGATCATATCTTACATTTGTCATTTGTATAGATGATAACATAACAATTTTTTGTCTAATCACAACTCGGACATGACATAGTAAAAGAATAACTCAACCTCAACTTCGAAAAAGTTAATAAAAAATCTGATTCAACTCACCAGAAATCTAATTTTAAAAAATTCCTTCTATTTTGGCAAGGACGGGACACGAACCACGCTAAGATTTCTATATAAAAAAGCATGACTACTAAATAAAATTTAAGTCTTAAAAATTACTAAATTTTATTATGCTTGGGAATGAAATGAATGTTTTACCTATTTTTTTATTATAATGTATTTAATAATGATTATAAATGAAATGATAAAAGAATTATATATGGTAATTTTATGTTCAATCTTCAAATAATATATTCTAATTATTTTATTTAAAATTATACAAAATATGTAATTAAATCCGTAAATACGTTTTTTTACGTTAGTCCTTATTAATTACTGAATTTTATTCAATCACACAAGTTTTTTTTAAATACAATCACACAAGTTAATCCTTCGTTCTAGTGTCTTATTTTTATAATTTTATTATCCCTTTTAATAGTATTAAAAACTAGGGTAAACTGCATGTTTAGTATCAAACTATTGATTTTATTTCATTTTGGTCACTTAACTATTTTTTTAAAAGCAATCTAACATTTAGTTTTAGTTTCATTTTGGTTATCCGTTGTAAAAAAAAGTTAACAATGATGCCAATGTGTCATCATAAAATAAAATCATGTTTACACTAAAAAAAATATCATATCAACAGTTCTGTTAACCTTTTAACTGTAAATAACCAAAATGAAATCAAAACGTATGTTATATATGTTTTTTAATAGAAGCCGCTAGTTTTATTAAAAGAAAAACACCCAAAATTACAATGAATGTTTACAACATAATCGCAAACTAAACACATAATTAGGATATTTTGTATAACCACTAACATAATAAACTAGTCACTTGAGATCATTTAAAGATTATAGAAGGAAAAAAAAGTTAAAATCTCAACCAAATATATTTGAACAAAGATAGATACGAATATATCTTATTGCATCGGAAAATGAACCACAAAAGGGATAAAACTAATAAAAGACCACCGACTAATCGTATATCAGAGTTGAGCGACATGAGAAACTATCAACGAACACAACCACATATCTTAATCCAATCTGAGGATTCAAAGTAAGGAAGATCATCAGGTAAATAAATAAACATCATCTTGATCAGTCGATGAGTCAAATCCAACCCGAGAAAAATATAAAAGCTAAAACAACGGCCATACGATCGAAAACGTGCCAAAAGACAGAAGAGAACGTGCCATAAAAACAAAGAAAAAAATACCTCAAAGACAGAGTTATTGAAAATTAAAATCAAAAGAAAAATAAAGATATAGTATAAAAAGTAAGTGAAAAATAAGAAGCACCGACGATCGACAACAATCAACATCAAGGTCGGTATCGCCGTCGGCCAAACGAAAATATAAAAGAGACGGTATCAACATGAATTAGTTGTGTTAGATATGATTTAAAAATAATAATTCTTTCAAAAAATAATAATAATTAGATGATCAAAATGAAATAAAAAAGATAGTTGGTAAACTAGACACGTAATTTACCCTAGAAAGTTATTATTCTATTGAGTAGAGGTTTTAATAACTAGTAAGATTAAAAAAAAATACAAACTGTATACGATTTACAAAATCAGCTTTACGCTCATGACTCACCTGCAAATTGCGAATGAAAAAGAGAGAGATGAACTTTTCTTTGGGTGATTTAAATAAACATATCCAGAAGTACAGAACCCGACAAAACTAAACTTCATCAGGCATCAGTGGCATCCCCGTAATTTTACCCCTAAGCTGCCTCTGCTTATGTCTAAAAATCAACCCTTCTGCGGCGCACTTTAGAAGAAGAGAGAAAAATAGAAAAGAAAGTGGGAAACCTACAAAACCGAGAAAAAGAAAAGCTCATCAATTTTCAACTAACAATAGCATCCCAATTCTCTCTCAACTTATTCTTTCTCTCTGTTTTTTTTTGTATGTGTGTATTTTTCTCTTGTTGTGTCTGCAATTGAAAAAAAAAACAAATGGAGCAAACTTTGGCTATCTTCAAGCTTGAAGCTTGTGGTATCATCTAGGAGAAAAAAGTTTCTTTTTTTCTCCTTTTGTTTGACTTAGTTTAGTTATCTTCGTTAAAAGTTAACAAAAGTGTTGATGGGGAGAGGTTGCAGGAGGATGGTAGCAGGAAATTTGGATCCAGATAGAAAAAGAAGCGGTGGGTTGAGAACAAAGCAGGCTGGTAGAGGCTCTTGTAGAGGAAGTTAGTTTTAGTTGCTCTTTTTTCTTTTCATGTTTCTTAAATGTGGGATGTTATAAAAATTGCTCCTTGAGTCGTTCTTTGTTGGTTGCTTTGCTTCAATATTAAGTGTATGATCTTTGAGAATAAGAAGAAGAAGAAGCAGAAGAAAAAAGGAGAAGTGCTATGGGTGGTTTGTTGAAAGAAGCTTTGAAGTCACTTTGTGGGGTGAGTCAATGTTCTTATGCTGTTTTTTGGAAGATCGGCTGCCAGAATACTATGTAAGTTCCTTTGTTTTTCCTGCTTCATGTGTCTGCCTTTTCTTTTTCTTGGGTTTGTTAGGTTGTGGAGAAAAATGAAGGAAAAAGAAGAAAAGTTTTAGTTTTTCTCTCTCTCTAGTGCTGTGCATGTTTTTCTTTTTTGGTCTGGCTACTCAATCTGAGTTATGCTTGTATCCTTCATTTGGTTTAGCTAATAAAGTAGAAACAAATTACGTTTCACCCCTTTTTGGGGGGTTAGATTCCATTTTTAGAATATCTAGCTCTTAAAACTGAATCTATAGACCCCCTACACGATGGGGTTAAAAGAAATGAACTTTTGAATGATTTTCTTGGCAACCAAACAGAGGAGGAGATCTACCATAGCTGAAAGTATTTATTGTATAGTGCTGTTTTTTGGAGTCTTGAGGTGCAAAACTTGTTTTACATGTTAAAGTTTGATTATTTACTGTTATCTTGTAATTTTTCTTTTACATTGATTTATTATCTGATGCCGCTTTTTCTTTTCCGCTTTTGGCACCTTGTGTTTTGGATTATTCTGTTTTGTCTTAAAGAATCATAGTGAAAAGTAGATGTGTAAATCTAGTTTGACAAGAAACCTTCTTCGTATTGGACCAGTTCACTGCTGAAATCCATTAATCCAACAAATTGTTTCCCTTTGTTTGATCGAGCAGAATCTGCTATGAATTGCTTTTGTCTTGGTCTGTTTGGCCGCTGGAGAAAATGTAGAGAGAAGAAACAATATTAGAAACTTGGAGAATTCAATTTTTTGTTATGTTTTTTAAACTTATTTCGCCCATTAGGATGAGATTTCTCGGAGTTAAATGGCATCATATGCATTTATTTTCATTTGTCCTCTCTCTTGATTGATGACTAAACTTTTGGCATCATATGCCTGAAGAGTTAAATAATATTTGCCTTCATAAATGAAGAAACATGTTTTCTTCCTGGGCTTTAACCACATGTTTTATGCTTTGCAGGTTACTAATTTGGGAGGAATGTTACATTGAATCTGCACCGTCTTCGGTCCCTCCATGCATTGCCAGACTTAAGAACCCCGGATTGTCATTTGGAGAGCAGGAGGGATGCTGGGGTTCCGAAACATCCTCTCAATTTGGGAGTCGAACATGGGACGACAAAGTCCATTTCCTGATGAACAAAATGATGATAAATAATCGCATTATTATAGTTGGACAAGGGCAAGTTTTTCTCCGCTTTCTGGTTTTCCACTTGCAGATTATTCATGTATTTTTTTTAAGGTTGTTTTCCTTATTTACTCGAGAAAGGAATTGTGATAAACTGCTTTCTTTGTTTTTCAGGTTAGTTGGGCGAGCGGCATTTACTGGTAATCATCAGTGGATTCTTGCAAATAATTACATTACAGATGCCCACCCCCCTGAGGTATATTACTAATTGTACCTACTGGGTGTAGGGGTAGTGTTGTTTAACAAAACATAGCATGACAATTTTTTGTGTGGATGCTTCTAGGTTCTTAATGAGTTGCATCTCCAATTTTCAGCTGGCATGCAGGTTCGATATTTCTTCGACTCTATCTCATTATTTGTCTTCCTTTTATCCCTCTGCTTCATTATTTGACTTCTATCTGTTGCAGACTGTTGCGGTTATTCCTGTTCATCCTCACGGAGTTCTTCAGCTTGGTTCTTCCACGACTGTAAGCAACTTGACTGTGCATGCTCGATTTTGTAGCATATTAGAGGCCTTGAAGTTTAAGTGTTTACTTGTTCTTATTCAGATTATGGAAAACATGGGATTTGTGAATGATGTGAAGAGTTTAATTCTCGGTTTGGGATGCATCCCTGGAGCTCTTCTCTCTAACAGCTATGGAGCAAATGAATGCATTGAGAAAACCAGGATTCCCATTTCCTTTGAAAATTCCATGGCTTCAGTTTCTGATGGCCGCAACCAACAAAGCAATTCATCTCAGACTTCCATGTTTATTGACCGATCATCTTCCCTGATCAGTCAAGAGATGAAGCCAAACATATATTGTAGAAGTCAAATGGAATCCGGAGCTGGTGCTGAAGTAATTCACTCTAACTCAGCTTTGTGGCAAAACCCGCAAGTTTCTTTTAGCAACTCACTGTCTGGGTTCAACTGTCGGCCAATGATTGGTCAACCAATTTCCAGCCACATCAGCATAAAGTCAATGGATCAACAAGTTTTATCAGATGGCCGGCAAAATCATGTTATCAATAGCATTACTGCATCGAATGGTCAAATGAAACCAGAATCAATCCCTGGCATTGTTCCAAACTTGCAAAAACACGTTTTTACTTCCTCTTGCATGCAATTGGCAGGGAACGGGATTCAGCAAGTTGGTTCGTCTAGGGTGGAGGTTCCTTCATCCATCCTGACTGATCAGTTAACAACTACTTGTATGCTTTATCAAGGACATGAATCTGAGAATTTTAGGTGTATTCCGAAGAAAGAAAGTATGGATAATGATTTGTTTGAAGCACTTAGTATCCCATTGCCCCATGCTGATGAGAGCATGCCCTTTGCTGAGCAACTTCCTAGTGCTTTTCATGATTGCCTGAAGCATGAAAGTGAAAATTCAAGTACTAAATCCTTCAATGTTAACTATGGTGATGTGTGCGTCCAGCCTCCATCAGGGGATGGCTTGTTTGATGTATTGGGGGCAGATTTGAAGAGTAAATTACTTGGTGAGAAATGGAATAGTGTTCTTGCCAAGGGACAAGATTTGAAGATGCAAAATGTGGGCAAGGATACTTCAATATTTAGGGATATGGCCATTGTGCTTCCTGATCATTGTTCTGCTAGTGAAGGGATTTCCAACCGGGGAATTTACTCTCTGGTGGGTAAAGATCATCTTTTGGATGCTGTAGTTTCTAGTGCCCATTCTGCCGGGAAGCAGATATCAGATGATAATTTGTCCTGCAGGACAACATTGACAAAGTTCAGTAACTCATCTGTTCCTAGTTGTTCCGGTACCTTCAGCCAGTCTAAAATTTCCAATCAAGTTCGTGAGGAGTTACTAGGTGGCCTTCCTAAGTCTCTGTTGAAGGGAGGAACTCTTCCATCCAGTTCTTATAGATCTGGCTGTAGCAAAGATGATGCTGGAACTTGTTCTCAGACTACTTCAATGTATGGGTCTCAAATCAGTTCATGGGTTGAGCAGGGTCATAATTCAAGGCGTGACACCAGTGTCACAACTGTAAACTCAAAAAGGAACAATGAAACGACCAAACCAAATAGCAAAAGACTAAAATCTGGAGAGAACCCTCGACACAGGCCAAAAGATCGCCAGATGATCCAAGATCGAGTAAAAGAGTTGAGAGAAATTGTACCAAATGGAGCAAAAGTAATGCATCTTTTTAACTTGACATGCCTAAATTCTGTGCCATGCTTTTATTGTAATGAATAGTCATTAATTTACATCCATTAATGTGATTTAACAGTGTAGCATTGATGCTCTTCTTGAAAAGACCATCAAGCATATGATTTTTCTTCAAAGTGTAACAAAGCATGCAGACAAGTTAAAACAAACGGGAGAGTCTAAGGTATGGTTATTATTTTATGCTTGTAACCTAGTTCTATTTACCCAACCTTCGGTTATGTTTATTTATCAAATCTTGTCTCAACTTTTTTTGGTGTCATTCCTATCTTGGATGTGTAAGAAGCAATGCTTTTTACAGCATACTATGTTCTCTGATGTCTTTAGTTCTAAGATGTTGCTTTTGTTTGAGTTTGCAGATAAAGGAAAACTTTGAGGGAGGTGCGACATGGGCATTTGAGGTCGGCTCACAATCTATGTTGTGCCCTATTGTGGTTGAGGATCTCAATAGACCTCGTCAGATGCTTGTAGAGGTGGGAATCTTTCATGTGAAGTTGCCTTAGAGATCAATTTATCTTGTTCCATCTGTTACTGCATTTTTGTTTTTGTCCCGTGACAGATGCTTTGTGAAGAACGGGGTTTCTTCCTTGAAATAGCCGACTTTATCAGAGGGTTGGGATTGACCATCTTGAAGGGAGTTATGGAAACTAGGAATGACAAGATCTGGGCACATTTCACTGTGGAGGTGAGATTTTATGAGTATCCGATTCCAATATATTTTTGTTCCGGTCATTCTTGCCAATAGAGCAACGTGATATCAACACGCCAAATGTTTTTTTCCCCATTTCATATGCGAATATACTAGTGATATTTGATTAATGTTATGCTGTCCAATTACATTTCTGGTGTGGTATCTTCATTATTATTTGTTTATTCCTTGCATGTCATGGTAAACTATTTCTTTGAATTGTTGTTTAATTCGAGTATCTGGTACAGGCAAACAGGGATGTTACGAGGGTGGAGATATTTATGTCACTTGTTCGTCTTCTGGAGCAAACTGCGAAGGGCAGCAGCACATCATCTGCCAATGCTTTCGATGGCAACATGGTTCAGCACTCTTTTCCTGAAGCTGCATCTATCCCGGCAACTGGTAGGACCACTAGTTTACAGTGAACCACCTTGCAGCCTGGTATTCCGGTCTATTGACATGTTAAGAGCAGGCCCTACCTTTGCTTGCCGTGACTAACATACAGTCTGTAGATTCGGGTGGTTCGTACCTTGACTAACGTTTGTTGTTTCCCACGACTGACCTCGTTTTCAAGAGGAGGGAACTTGTTTAGGTAATGAAAGAACGTCAAACAACTTTTAAATGGCCCGTATTTGGATTTTGCTGGACCATTTGACGGATAAACCTGTAGGCGTAATAGTTTTCTGGGGGGGGGGATTCCTAATGTATAGAGGAATGGGATATGACATGAAAGGGATGAGTTGTGCTAGATTTCGTCATGTGCTGCTTGTTTTTAGTTATTTTGTTGTGTAGTCGTATTGTGTTGGCAATATGCTGGGGGTGACACCAGCCAAGGGACTGCGTTTTGTCTTGTGCTAGTCTATGTATCCGCTGAGGGATGTTTTGTTTAAAATGTTGGATGTCACTTTATAAGAATGATTGTGAAATGGATCTAGCTTAGTCCATATCTTTGAATCCTCATTTGATTATATGAATCCACGCTCTTCAAGATATGATGATAATAATGAAATCAGAGTCGAAGTTTAGTGTATACGTATATACTATGACATAAAATGTATCCTTAAAACAATACTAGTAGCGGTATTAACATAGATCTGACAAACGATATCTAATTTAACCATCGTCAAGGGCCATACTAACGTAGAACATTAGGGATTTTGGAAGGAAATTAAAATCAAAGTAGCTTTATCATAAAGTAAAATATGCGTATAAGGTAAGATTTAACGTTATTTATCTCCACATATGAGAGGAATATAATCATTGTAGAAATCATGAAGGGTACAAATGAAGCATGATATCTCATGTATTCTAGAATCTAGTATTTATACCAAGATTTGAAGTATTTGAAGTATATGTAACATCTATCCAAAATAATTCTCTAACGTGGAATCATATACCATATGAAAATCATGATAAAATGTTAAAGAATAATAGTAGAATATATGAAAATATCGTTGTAAAATCAAAAACCCTAACGTGGAATCGTTTACCATATCAAGGGTTGGAATTTGAAGGAGGAGCCGGAAACTGCAAAACTAAAGAAACATTGTTCGTCTCATTATTCCCCAAGGAAGTTGAACAACAAAATCATATATACAGAGACGACGTAGAACTATATGCAAAGGGATAAACTTTTAAAATTTTAAATGATGATGAATTTATAAAATTTTAAGCACAAAAATAGATTATTCATAAAAAAATATAAAAAAATATAAAAATAGTTGTTCCCTCTCAATCCATCCATGCATATGTACACAAGTGGATGAGTGAATATTCTGCATGTCTGCTCTCTCCATGGCATGAGCAATGGGTGGTGTGATCTATGAAGAAGAAAAGCCTACCATAGCCCATAGCTAAGCTTGGATCGACCATCGTACGTTATTTATAGATATATGGTATTTTCGAACATCTTTTGCGGGTTATTTGTTTCCCATGCAGTCTGATTTTAACACGACATATGTTTGATGGGCAAAATTGAGAGAAAGAAAGTGCCAGTTTTTGGATTTTCAATCACGTGTGACTCATATACAAATATTTTCCATAAATTCTCATAAAAAATTATAAGAATATATAATTTTGATTTTTTTTAAAAAGTCTTGTCCATTTGATATTGGATTTTTTAAATCACTAGTATCCAATCTATTAACCGACTATTCCAGATCGGTTATTACAGAGGCAAGGACGACCCTCTCAACCCAGTTTGCTCCATTCGCAAACGCCAAAATTCGAACTCCTGACCTTACTAAAGGGACCTAATGTCTCATCCCACTAGACCAACTGATTGTTGGTAATGTCATATTTTTCTAATTTCATAGAAGTATTAAATATGACCATATTTCAATTATCATTTCTAAAAGTAAATGTCATCTATCCTATTACTCCACAGGATTCTCAGTACTCATCAACCTTTAATTTATTTTTAGTTTTCATTTGATTCATTCATAAAAAGAAAATCATATTTCAGAACATGACAAATGTTATGGGATATATATATCTTCACATGTACTAAACTTTAATTTCCTATATGAGTGGTTTAGATGGAATCCACATTTATTAAAATTTAACTTTAATTAATGAGTGATTTTAACTTTTTGTTAGAACAGACATTCACAGCAAACATTTGGAAGCTTTCATTTTTATCTTTAATTTTTATGCAAATTAGAGTTAAATAAATAAAAAAAAACAGCAGTTTTCTTATTTTCCTTGTCTCTATGCCATGATCTTATTTTCAGAAAATGTAGAAATTAAAAAGCTTTAAAATTTTAATAATACCCGAAAAATAAAATTACTTTAGTTATCTTTAATTTATTTTTTTTGTTATTTTTCAATGTTATGAAAACAGATTCTAATAAGGGATTAATTCAGAATTAAAGGAGCAATAATTAAAATATTAGAAAAATGAAAAAAATATACAAATTTACAAAATCATTAATTTAAAATTTGCAAAACTTAGAAAGAGACATGATGACTTGGATAGAATGATTGGTCCAAATAAAAACATTGGCTCCAGGTTACATATAAGTGTTTTGGCCGACAAGGTACCATAATTGAAAGAGAGAATAATGAATTTTAATGTTTTGATGAAACACTGAACATAGAATTATACGCAGATCTAGTTATTCGTTCTAATTCAAATATTAATTAATATTTTTAGAAGATTTGAATAAAAGAAACAGAATTTCAAGTTATGATTATTGAACTAAATATTGAAATGCTGAACCGGAAATTTTGAGGTCCAATCACCACTAACAAAAGTGAGGGATTTTGATCGGATTCTTGGTTGAGAGAGTTTCTAGGGTTTTTTTTAATAACCGGTTTTCAATATTTTGATCGACTAATATCTATCCAGTTCGTATTATGAAAATAATTGAATGTCTTAAACTCGTTACGGTCGTCATTGTGTGGGAATGAACAATAATTGATTTAACTTAAAAAATTGATCTTTTCAACTTGATTCAACTCGAAAAAACTTGACTCAGATTGAATTGACTCGTAAATTTTATAAATTGAACTCGACTAAAAAAATTTCAAAATCGAGTCAAGTTATGAAATAGAGCTCGAATAACTCGAAATATTTAGTAATTAGTTGATTGATTTTTAAGTTTGAATCGAGTTCCTCAATTATGCATGATATATTTATATCACATACAAAAAAATATATGAATTGTATATGGTTATAGAAAATCGTTTAAATTAGAATCATATAGTATCATAATATTATAAATATTTAAATTAAATTTAAATAAAAACTCGAACAACTCAATTCGAATTTTATAAACTAGAATCGAAAAAATTTCAAATAAAATTTGAGTTATAAATAAAAATTGTCAATTCGAATAACTCAAAATTTTTTATTTCGACTCGATTGGACACTTTCCCCAACTCACTGCTTCTCCCCATTTCACTAACTACCTTTGCTCAAAATAATTAGTATGCATGTTGGTTTTCCTTATGAATGGAGGCCCACAAATGGTGCTTTGTAAAGGCGTATTCTTACGGGCTATCTCTTTATAATCTCTACTCTTCCTCTTCCTTCACGCGAGCTTTCTTTTTTCTTGGCGATGGATTTAGAGTGTGGAAGTGAAGAAAGAGCAAAACAAGGCCTGCTTGCTCGTGTATGGCCAAAGATTAAAACCTTTAGCAACAATGTTAAGTCCGAGGCGTTTGAATTCTTCACAACCTTAAGAAAGCTCGGCCAAGATGATCCCAGAAGAGTCGTTCATTCATTGAAAGCCGGACTCGCACTCACCTTGGTCTCATTGTTTTACTATTACCAGCCATTGTATGACAGCTTCGGCGTTTCCACAATGTGGGCTGTAATGACTGTCGTCGTCATCTTCGAATTTTCCGTCGGTATGTTCCGTCACACCCTATCCTTTAAAGAGGGTTTTAATTTTCTGATACGAATAAAAATTTATTTCAACAGGGGCTACTCTTGGGAAAGGTGTAAATATAGGATTGGCAACGTTGTTTGTTGGTGCTTTAGCTGTTGGGGCGCATCAACTGGCTAATCTATCGGGACGGATAGGTGAGCCCATAGTGCTCGGGTTCTTTGTCTTTCCTACAAGGTATAACAAAACTATCACTTGAAAAATATATGCACCCAAAATTCTCCTCAACTTACAGATTCTAATATGCAGCTGCTGTGTCGATGTTTGCGAGATTCTGCCCCAAAATCAAGGCCAGATATTTTTTTTGAAAGATAGTACTTTGTATAACGAACGTTTACAAAATAAACCACCTCGAGGACCTCGTTAAAAAAAACCCTAATCCTAAATGGCTGTTGATATGATTACGGGCTGTTGATATTTATCTCGACTTTCTCTATGATATCGATATCTGGTTTTCGAGACAATGAAATACTGAAACTGGCTCACAAGAGACTGTTAACCGTCCTCATAGGTGGCTCAACCTGTGTCACAATTTCCGTTTTGATTTTCCCTGTTTGGGCCGGTCAGGACCTTCACAACTTGATCGCTTCCAACATGGAAAAGCTTGGCATATTCCTAGAAGGTACCGTCTCCGATCTGTCACGACTTTGTCCGACTCCGACCTGACCTATCGAACTCAGTTCTCAAATATAATGTTTACAGGGTTTGGAGATGAATACTTCAGAATGGCAGAGGATGGAGAGTCGAAAGAAGGTGGATCCTTCATGCAGGGATATAAAAGTGTTCTTAATTCAAAGAACAATGAAGAGGACTTGGTGGGTTAAAAAAAGCACTTGCTCTTTAAATTCCATCTCTCAATGGAAAAGCTTGTTTAATTTTCTTTAATTTTCTTTAATTTTTAGGCTAATTTCGCAAGATGGGAGCCGAGGCATGGTCGATTCCAATTCCGGCATCCATGGAAACAGTACCTAAAGATCAGAGCTTTAACTCGCCAATGTGCATACTGAATCGAATCATTAAATGGACACATACATGCTGCCATTCAAGTATTCTATCTAAAATCTCCACGTCTCAATATGTTTTAGATTGGCGTATCATTTTTATGCTATCGTTTGCAGGCAAAACCCGAAATCCGAACTAAAATCCAAGAAACATGCACGATAATGAGCATGGAATCCGGTGAAGCTTTGAAGGAACTGTCGATGTCGATCAAACTGACGGTGAAACCGTTTGCCGCTGATATCTGTATCGATAACTCGAAATTGGCAGTCAAGAATCTCAACGCTTTGCTCAAATCAGGCTTACGGGATGATGAGACGGACCTGTTGGAAGTGGTAACGGTGGCTACAGTAGCTTCGTTGTTAATCGACGTGGTCAGCTGCACGGCCGGAATTGCTGAACCTGTACATGAACTTTCGACAATGCTGAATTTCGAAACCGTTGAGCCAACTGTGTCA